CTTCTCTTGTATTTATTCTGCAAAGTTGCAAGCAATCGATCAGGTTATTCTTGATTCTTCAAAGGTTATTACTATTGATCTTTGTAGTAATACATTAATCAATGTTTTAATGATCATCTATATTTGTTCATCCTTAATTCGTGTGTTTTCGTTGGCAGCTGAATTCATTAATCTTATCGGTCGTGTGCCTTTCTGCTCTGATGCCGTGAGCATCCCGCCCTTGAAGGCCATCACTACGTTGCCCTTGCTCCCTGCCTTACTCTCTCCTGGCGTCTTACCTGTAAAAAGTGGCGGCGGAGACGACAGTGTACCCTTAACATGCTACCTAACTCCTAGAGTTGGTGCGTCTCCAGAACTTCCCACTGCAACTTCAGCTATCACTATTACGGAGGCGGTTTCTACTATCGATGCACAGATTCCTTCATTGGTTGGAGCGAGATTATCCACTGAAGATTCCGCCTCGACTTTGCTTTCCGGGTTGCAGTGTCTCAGCCTATCAGCTGGCCTTCATAGCTCTATACCTGCTGTCACTTCATCGCATATCATAGCGAATCCATCATATTCTCATCAGGTCTGTTTGCTTATCATTTTCCATTCTGCTTTTTGTTTGCTGGCTAGACTTGCTGTATGTAAATTTTTTATTTTTGAATACTACTTCGTTACTAGTTTCACGGTACTCTTATATTTTTATGGGCTCCAGTAATTTTTTTAAAATATGACTTAATCTTGCTGGTACACATACAAATTTTTAGAATCTGAAAGTGATTTTGTCTTATTTAATTTTCTTAGAAAGAGCAACAAGTTATTATAAAATGGCTAAATATATCTTCGGTTGGAGTTATGAGAAAAAGTATATAAACAGATGTACCAAATGTGAGTAATTAGAATATTGAAGATATAAAGACCATGATGTAGCCTCTGGTATGGTCGCAGTCTCCTTTTGATTTATAGCAGTGGGTTAACCTCGTCGCAACTTGGTCTTGTTGTCAGGGCGACTTAGTAGAATTCACCTAGTCTTTTGGGTTGATCTCGTTGTCGCAACTTGGTCTTGTTGTCAAGATGACTTAGTAGAACGCACCTAGTCCGAATTCGTCTGCCATAGTAGTTGTCATGATTACCAGCATCAGACAGTGGACTTGGTACATTCTCAAACGTTTCGCTGGCATCGTAGTCGGCATAATCAGTGAATTTTGCCATTCTCCGTAACCAAGCTACGAACTCGTCAAGGAGACAAGTAAGTCAATCCATCGACAAACTTTCTGCCGAAAACGGTTACACTATCACTGCTCTTTCTGTCCTGGCCTATCTATCTACTCTTTATCCTCTTATCCCATTGCCACCCTATCACAACTTCTCACTTGTTTACATTCCACTCGTTAAAATGTGTGCCCTTTTGTGGCAAATCTAGTGTGGCCTCATCACACTTGCTATTTACCTCGACCCCTCTCTTTCGATCGGTTGATCCACATTGAGCCTCCAATCTGCATCCCTTCATTGTCTCGCAGATCCGTTCCTTACCTTTCTGGTTGACGGATTTCACTCGGTTCCAGTCCCAGTGTGCATGTCATTCAAGGCGCTATTTCTCAAGGCCTTAGAAGCGCATACACTGCCACTTCACTGAGCAGAGCGCCTAAACTCTAATTC